TTATTGCCATGGCACTAAAGTCAATGAATTGCAACTGGAATGAGTTTGACACTTTATATTGCTTTTGATAAAACCATTATAAAAAGCGTATTTCAACCTTTAAGAAAGTCTTTTAAAACCGTATTCTCTGCAATCAGTGAATCGTGTGCACATACCGGCCAAAATAGTCAATATTTTATCAAGGTAGTTTTCAGCACATCTCTCACACGCGCTGTTCCTCAGCTATTTACCCTACTAATGCAAGCAGTTCTGATGACTTCAATTTTAAGATCCACACACGACACCCATCTGAACCCTCCTCTACCAAACTGAGGCTGGTCAGAGTATGCCCATGCAAGTAATGCCCAGCCGGGTCCTTGTGAGCCTTTCAAAGCCTTTCCCAAACTCACTGTGAGTATTTCCAGCTAATACCTTTGCCATATTGCACATTAATGTCTTGCAAATGGTGCTGGGACCATCAGGAACAGCAGAGACGCTGGCAAGATACGTCTGCTTATTTCAATCAAGTATTTTTGTACAGAAGTTACATTCCCAGTTAAAATTACTCCATGGCTTTGCCAGTGAATGCAGTGCAGACTTACTTTACCTGGAGTAACGCACTAGCTGGGAATGGCTCCAAGGACTTGCTATGGTCTGTCAGGTCAATGTGCAAATTAAATCAGATTTATTCAGTACACTGAGCTTCCTTTGGTGCTGTTTCAGTCTGGATTGTTAATTGAGCTGCCTTACATGTATACATTGTGATTACATGCTACAGTCTGTACAGAAAACAGTGAAGAAAACCTGAAGTTGATTTCTGAGCTGTCCGCTATATGGTGCGTTGGGCAAAGAATAAACCAACCTCAACAAATGCTCGTGGGATTTATATTGTGTATGAAATATCACCGCTAAACTCTCTCTGCCCATAAAAAGCTATGACAATTTCAATGGGGTATTCTTAAAAGAATGGGAAAATGTCACTCTTTTAACGATCCTTGAACAACCGTCAAGGCTCCTGCTCCTGACTATGCCCTCGGCTCTTTGGGGGCTGCCCACACGAAGAGCTTCAGCCTGCAACTGATGTGCAGTTAACACAATTTTTATCTGTCACAGGGTGGAAAATGCTAGTAAAAAGAATGACAATCAAGTGTTAAACAGTATAAGCAGAGCTGAGCTAATCACAGCAAAAGGCATTTCTAGCTGGGCTCTAAGCTGATAGAAGAGAAGACAAGTCCCCTTCACGCTGGAGAAAACTACTTGTCCAAGGAAGGCAGCTCCCCTTGGCCTGGCTTTCCCCGCTCAGGAAAAGGTCAGGCTTTTAACCAACTCTTACAGCCAAGAAATTTTGCTCCTCCTTCCTTATGATACCTACCTGACTTGCACAGGGCAGCCCTGTTCCTCTTCCCTGTGGGAAGCATCTCCCCTTCTTTCCTATCTTCATATGTAAACCAGGGTTTCAAAAACCATCCAAGACACTTACTTGCAATGAATCACCACTCCTCACTGGAGCTCCCTAAGTCCATCACCAGAAACAGAAATCTGGACAGACTCCTCATCTGGGAGAAGTCTAGGCTAGCTACAAAAATCCAAGACCTCTTAACAGCCAACTGCTTTAAAACTGAAAAAAAAAAAAAGCATACAAAAATATAATCTGAGGACTCTAATAAAAATACTAGCAAACATAACAATTTGAAGATGCAACATTTTGGAGGTGGAGCTCCAATAATCTGATCAGTGGCTGTTAGACGCGGTTTGTCCTTACCGGCTTTGCTGACCTACACTATTTATTTCCCTGCATTACCACCCACTTCAGCACGAGGCTGGCCACAAACCCGCTCTGGCAGCAGACCGCCAGTCGACACGGTTTTGTCGCTCAGACTTTGCAGGGTTTATTTTTCCTGCTTGCCACTGAGATGACTTGGTGCGTTCACTACCTGTGACGCTATGGATGGCGAGGCTGCAGGAGCAGCGAGCTCCGAGGATATTTCTCCCCAGGGAAACCATTCCTGACAGCTTCACGCACAAGGTCGTGATGACGCAGAGAGCGGCAGCTTTGCTAGAACCGTGGTTGGGGAGTTCCTGGGATGCGAAGCCGGCTCAGCTCCGGAGATGTTGCTCTTGGCTCCTGCGCACCGCTCACACTGCCACCACAGCAATGGATTTAGGGTGCTCATTCATACAGTTCTGCGCTTCATACAATTCTGCAATTCCCTGGAAGGGCAATTTATCTAACTTCTTAACAATTATTTAACGAAATGCAAAGAAGTTGCAGCAATAAATCTTGTTGCTGATTTTCCCTTATCTAACCATACCAAAGTGAGGGGCCCATCAGCATGCGGTGCATGCCTGTATCCCTGCCCAGGATGCTGTCTCTACCATCAGCAGCGCTGGGCAGGAGAAGATGTCTCCCTCTCAGAAGCCCTCTGCCCAAACTCCAAGTAAATAGTAGTTGTCCAGAATCCGCATAGAGTGTCAAAGCTCAGCACAAAATCACAAGTTGGGTATCTAGAAACAACTCACTGTAGAAAGATTACAATACATAGTCCAACAAAACTTCAGAAATAACCAAAATGATCTTTTTTAAACCCTTGTTCATATAACAAGCTTCAAAACATCAATAGACTATAATACACATTTTATAACCCTCCGCTGACTGAGAAGACATTAACCTATACTGACAGAAAATATTTGCAGCCATTTAGAGATAGTTTAATACTGAACTTGCTTTCACCTTGCAACTCAAATATCCATAGTCAAAGCTACAGCCAGGAGAAGGTTTGCTGCTCCTAAAAACGCTTCCTGTCTCTTCCTGCTGGCAAAGATGATATTCCAGGATTTAGTTAGGTTTCTGTCATCTGCTCAATGTTTTAAAAACATCTTAACATATTTGTAATATTTGCTTATCACTGTGCGTGTAAGTGTGAACACTCCTTAGCAATGGTTCCTTAAAGAATAATTCCTCGACACAGCTCAAACATCTACAAACCGCCACGCCTTCAATTTTTAATCTGTATCCTTCCATTTGCTGTGTGTCTTACCTTGGCTTCTACTTTTAAAATATAGTTTAACAGGAAGAAAACCTCTCAGGCTATTCGGAAAATAAAAAGGGGAAATAAATAAAAATGAAGACAATTTTACAGGTCCTACTTCAGCTAAACCTTTCAGGGGCTTCAATGAGAAGATAATCTTTCTGTGATTATGGCCAAACCCTCTCGTTGCTTAGCAACACATAATTAAGGAATATGTTTTCAGATCCGCTTTGCAAGCTGGCCATTATCAGATGAAATTACTGGAGCAACAAATGTCATCCTCATGCAAATGAGTTGGTCGTAGGAAAAAAAAAAAGAGGGTTGAGTAGCGAGAAAGAGCTCAGCAGCACAGAAACACTGCTGGCTTCCTCTTGTTGCGCACCGGTAATTCTTTTAAAGGGAAGGGATAATATCTAGATTTTTAGAAAATAGGGTTTGCAGTTTATATACAAGACACATGGAAGGAAGGGTCCATTTCTCATGGTGGAGGAGACTGCTCCCAATGCATGTGCTCTCGCGGTCCTTTGCCCCAGGGCCCTCACGGCATTGGTACCGACCGGCTCAGTCAGACGTACTGCAAATAAATGAACATATTTCTGTTCCCCGCAATACACCAGTTCGCCTTTTTTTTTTCAGGCTTTGAGAAATTGTTTATTTAAAAATACTGCCTGTATGCACTACTTTCTCATCTAGTCCATGTCAACACTGAACGTGTTGCCTAATATTTAAGCATTTTTTAGAAATCAATACATTATACCAGCTACATAAAGGATGCATAAGCGTGACAGAAACGGCATCTACTTCCTAGCTGTGTAATTATGGTAAGCCAGGGAAAGGGGTGCGCCAAGCGTCTGCATTTTGACAACTTTATCATTTCCACTTACAAAATCATTCTTTATTTAGATTCCTGTGGAATGGCATCACCAGTTTGGCACTGTCTCTATGCCTATAAATGGTATCCTTTTATTAAAGCTTTGTGCGTGTACATTGGTACGGCACATTGTTCGAGACTTGTTTGCATGGGAGTTTGGCTGAACTGCGCAGGGAGAAAATTCCCTGCTCACAGAGTCCCTACCAGGAAAAACATTTCAAGGGATTTCTTTCCCCATTTTTCAAACAAGTCAAGCCACAAATGAATGGATTTGCCAAATTTCCTCATACTTAGCAATGTGGTTTTGGGGGTTAGTTTCTGTCAGGCTCTGAGTGTTATCATCAATGTGCGTCTCCGAAAAGGAGGAGTGGAGCCTGCTCAGCTTACCCAGCTGTACATCGCAGCAGCTAAGGGCCTGAGCACTTCTCGAAGGGGAAGGGAAGATGAGGAGCCACCATTCATTTTTATTATTCCAGTGCTTAATGACAGGCTTTTAGTTTTAAGCACAGACCTATTACTTTAACAGCTATATCACTTCACTTACAGGCATCTCTAGAAGGAAATCAAGGGTTTTATTTTGAATGCCTGATAAAACAGCAAATTAATAATAAGAAAAGACTTAGGTAATGGCCAAAGGTAAGTCGATTCTCAAATAACACCATTAACTATCTGATGAATTTAGTCAAAACAATGCTAACCGCTTCCTCAGAGGAACACATTTGTGCCTGATAACAGCGGTAAAAAGTCAATCTGCAGCAAAACCTGTAGTCCTAATTGCTCAGCCAGTGCAGTATCTAATCTCCCATTCTCTACAAACAACAGGAATGGCAAGATTAACCCTGGAAGCATTATCTGAGATACCGCTCACTTTTAACTGAATTGGCTAAACAAATAAAATATTTGGAATTTAACCGCAAAACAAGAACCAGCATCTTTAGCTCCGCGCAGCCAGCACAGCCCTGCAAAGAAATCCCATTCACCTCCTTTTCTAAATAGGAAAGTGTCTAATATTTAGGCATGAAACCCCAATATATTTGACTGTGGGTTTTTTGGGGGGGTAAAGTAAGCAACAACAAGGCGGTTCTAAACTACCGTATGGGCTAAGACCCTTTGGGAATTACTTGGTTCAGGTGATGCCATGGTGGAGACGATGACGGGGGGCCCCGTGCGCCTGCTGAGCTTCGGGTATGGGGAGAGTTGGGCAGGGAAACCGGGTCCGGTGGGTGCCAGGCTACCGTCCCCTGGT